GAAACGTCGTTTTACGTTTTATATTTACTAGACGATGGATAATATCCAAGAAAATTTTCATACAATTGACTCTTTACCATCGTCAAGAAGTTTTAGATTTGAATATTTAATTGTTATTTAGATGAGCTTTGGCTTCAAACAGTTAAGGTGGTGATTAGCTAGGCGATAAACAGGAAGTAGCTTGCTTAACCCTTGTCATATACAGTGTAATCAGTGACCGTACAAGTTGTTAGCCGGATATAACTCTGGGCATTAAATAAAATAAAAAGATGCATCTGTATGGTAAATCATACACATCTTTTAAACCATTGACTGTATTCGTTCAGACGAAACAAAAATTAACCCGTAAATTTGTTTCTATTCTGAAAGCCATACAATTAATTAAAAAGGGGTTTATGTTATTGAGGAACTAACCTTTGTCCAAGGGCAAAACATTGAGGAATACAGCGGTACACAGCACATGAAATTTGTGTGGCCAACTCACGTCTACCAGCAAAATAACGCAGACATTTGGTTCAACAGTGAAGTATTGATTTGCAGAGTTAAATAGTTCATAACTATCATAAGAAGTAATATTGTTCTTATTATACTAATGAGAATTTCATGTTTGATTTATGAATTTTCACCTTACCAACAGTTTTTATCAAAGAAATTACATATGTAAATTCAGAGATGGGTGTATGTTTATGTTTTTAGGCTCTGAGACTGTTTTAAAAAGGAAGGAAACCAGCCTTTGCTAGTTTGAATCTGATTTGGCATTCTTCTTATTCTTCACCTAATGAAAATTGTAACCATCGAGTTTAAACCCTTTCCATGAATGGATTTTCTGTATGGAATGTTGTGTGCGTAATATTAAAAATAGGTTTTGTATTGTAGGTAAAACTATGGAATACTAGCACTGGGTTTTGCTTTGTGACATTTCACGAGCACACTTCAAGCATCTCTGGTGTGCAGTTTAGCCGCAACAGGAAGTTCATCATCTCGGCTTCTCTTGATGGTACTGTTAGAGCCTATGATATGACAAGGTGAGTGCAATGAAGATTTTCTTCATCCTTTGGTTCCCCCTCCCCCAGCATCGAATGTCGTGACCAAGTGGTTAGGAATTCTGCTTCGTATTTGGAAGGCCTGTGATAAAAAATGTTGACCCAAAGATTGGCCGTCTTGTCTGAGGTGTTTTATAGTTTTGCTCTGTCCTGCCTTGAAAGAACTGGGATAGTACTTGAAATTAGACCATTGCCACTTCCTTCCATCTTCTTTTTGCCATATTTGCTTGTGTATAACATTTTTTTTTAGAATTATTCTTAAAATTAGGGTGTGTAATACACAAAACATTTTTAAAGGGGGTGGAAATGGCTCCTCTTTTTTTACCTGGAATAAAACATTATTATCAGGTAAAATTGCAAAGTTAATATTTACTTGAAGATTTCCATCTTCTGGGTTGTTGCGCTGTGTAGTCTGGTCGATGTTTACCAACATTTCAGAGGTCATACTGCCTCCGTCATCAGGGCGATGAGTATGAAGATTTCTGTCTTCTGGGTTGTTAACGCTGTGTAGTCTGGTCGATGTTAACCAACGTTTCAGAGGTCATACTGCCTCCGTCATCAGGGCGATGAGTATGAAGATTTCTGTCTTCTGGGTTGTTAACGCTGTGTAGTCTGGTCGATGTTAACCAACGTTTCAGAGGAAATCTTCATACTCACCGCTGTGAGAACCTCAAGTCTTACATAATATTTACTTGTCAGTAATAGGTAGTTTGATATAAATTGTGTCTTCAGTCAACAATTTACCAACATGTTTGTGTCATTCAGTGTCATTACTGACACTGCTTACTCTCACTCTCATTGTCAGTGTCACTGATCATGAAATTCTCACTCCTATCCATTTCACCGGAACTAAGTTTGAAACTTTTCTCCTCAGTTTTTGGAGAAATTGAGTGCCACACGCATGTGTGTATGCACTTACCATAGTCCCTTCCATTTATTTGTTAACCTCACATGAAATTCCTCTTCAACTTTATTCTATCGAATTCTGAAAGTCTTTCTTTCAGTTTTGCCTGATTCCTTGTTTTTATTTTTTTATAATTTATTTTTGGTTTTACTCTTATTATAATTTCCAGTAAGTTCCCTCGAACTGTTTTGTATATTTTTATGTTTCTCTCAATTGTAAAAGCTAGAAAGATTGAAAAGACCTTAGCAGGAAATGTGGCTTGAATTAATGGATGAATATGGGTTGCGTGTTAAAATGAAGGATCGTGAGATCTCTTGACTGCAGCACCGTCATAGTTTAGGGAGTCTCGCAAGAACAGCGTGCTGAGATAATAGACATCACGAGCAGACCAATGTGCTCCCTTCTCAAGGCGTAATTTGCGGTCATTCTCTGATTCAACAATATACAACGGAGAAACTGTGACTAAGGAAACAGCATTTCTTAAGTGAACCGTTATGAAGGTGATATTTTAGGTTCTTATGGAGGTGGGTATAAAGATGGTTGTCTTCTGGGTTGTGGCACTGTGGAGTCTGCTTGTACTTCAGAGGTCCTTGCTGCCTCCATCACCATCACTGTAGTGATGATGATGATGGAGGCAGAAAGCACCTCTGAATTGTCTGTAACCTTCTACCATTCTAAACAGTGCTACAGCTGATAAGTTATTGGCATTGTTCAGGTGATTTTGTGGTCTCAGGAATGAAGTCCTGATGCTGCGTGGGAAGACAGACAGAGAGAGAGAGAGAGAGAGGCAGATGTCTTGAGAAATTGATTTGTGTTGTGTTGCCAGTGATTGCATTTGTGATGGATCAGGTAGTTTGCTTTTTACTGCACAGAGCAGAAGTGTTTATCTGAAAATTCTTGAAGTTTAGGATTGATAAGTCAAATTTAGTTTGAGAATTTTTTTTATTCGATCAAATGTTGGATACTCACATATGCGTAGGGAAAAGAAAAGCATCACTTTCTAGAGTCTAACTGATAGCAAGAAAACTTATGAATCAAACTGCTAAATAGACATCTCACTGAAGTATGAGTTCATGACATAGTTACTTTGTGTCCAAGCATAATACCGTGACGTTAATTTTCCGTAGTCGTTGACTTAGCACGAGCAGTTGACATTAAATTGGATGAATTTGCACGTGTTCAGGTATCGCAACTTCCGCACCTTCACGTCTCCACGACCAGTGCAGTTTGCCTGTGTAGCCCTGGATTCAACAGGAGAGTTTGTAGCTGCAGGCGGACATGACGTGTTTGAAATTTACTTGTGGTCTATAAAGATAGGCCGACTTTTAGAGGTATTTATTTCTTGCTTGTGCATGGTAGTAGTAATGAAAATTTGCTAGAAATTATCAACTTCTTTCTTTCAAGTAAAAAATGACTGATGTGCAATATTTAACCCATTTGATAACTTGTCTGAACTACTTGAACACAAGGTACATGTGGTGATATGAATTACCAAATGGTTCAACAGTTTATGAAATGTGAACTCAGTCCGAAGAATTGGATCGATCATAGAAGGGTGATGTTGCACTTACTGTCTGTTTTTAGTTTTGTGTCTGCAAAAATTGGGTAATTAAAGTAAACTACATGCCAGTAGTAAATATGGAACAAGATTTCAGATGTGGACTGACATATATTAGTAGGTTCGTGGCGATAGAGATCAGATTTTTAAGAAATATGGAGGAATAAACCAAAGGGGGAGATTAAGAAGCAATATAATTTGAGGGACGTTAAAGGCATACACTGCAGGTTCTCATTTCGGCAAGAAGGAAGATGGCTGTCTTTAGACTGTTACGCCTTGTAGTCGAGTAAGAGTTTATTGACGTTTCAGATGAGCTTGCTGCCTCCATCATCAGTTTGATTTGTGAGCTGCACGCAGATATGCATGTGCGAGGGTGAGGGAGGTGGGGGGGAGAGTGCTTTTATCAGGGCCCTTCAGGGACTTGTGCTTGTAAGCTCCTGCCAGACTGCATGGTACGACAACCCAGAAGATGGTCATCTTCACTGTAGAAAGTAAATGAAGTAATGAGAGATTCAAATGGCATGGGTATGTTTAAGAATGAACAGACAGAAGATTGTACAAAAGACTTTTTGATCATAAAAGTAAAATTAATGCATGCTTACAAAGGACTTTGTGATCATAAAAGTAAAATTAATGCATGCAAGAGAGAGACAGATCAAGATGGAAGCAGCAGGTTGTTAAGAATGTCGCATCACACAGAAGGAGGAAGCAATTGCGGACGAGGTGGTGCGGGAAGATGGAGATGTATAGAGAGGCATTATCATTACACAAAACACACTAATTGGAATGTCATAGGAGGGGGAAGAAGAAGAATACAATTATTTATACCGAAGGGGAGTTAACTGTAATAATGCTGTACATCAATGATCTAATTTACTTCTACTGAATTTTATCATTACAATAGGACAGTTTTCTAATAAGTTACATGTAGCATAGTGAAGAAATACGTGTTTTGGGATTTCGAAAGTGTAGGTGTACTTATTTAGAACTCGGTTCAGTTGCAGAAATGATTTGACTCGAAACTTTTCTAGACATTTTCCGTGAGGAGCATGCCTTTGCAGAGATTGTCCCATTCCAGTTCTTTTAACTCCTTGTGATGAACACTGCTGACGCAGCATCCGTGCAAACTTATTTGCCGGGAGGAAAGCTAATGCTATTGAATGCGGGGTTGTGAAGTTATACGAGGATGTTACGATAGTCCTTTTTGGGGAATGGAGAATAACATAATGCTCTTGTGGAATGTTTTGGTTTGTTGAATAATTTAGTTTGAGGCTGTGTAATTTTTAAATAGTGATATTATTTTTATAATATTGTCTCATGAATGTCGATGATTGCCGTTTGTGGTGAATGTCCACTGACATGTGGAGTAATACTTTTTGGCGTGTGTCGTACAGATATTGACTGGACATGAAGGCCCGGTCGTGAGTGTGGCATTCAGTCCAACTCCAGCCAGCACCGCCCTGGCGTCAGTCAGCTGGGACAAGACGCTCAAGCTCTGGAATGCTGTTGAGTCTGGGAGTAGTCACGAGACCATTCAGCTCACGGCAGATGGTGTGTGCACAAAATCTCAGTAAAGTGTTTTTTAGTGTCAGTGTTGTTCCTTTTCTGTCCGAAACACAATTGTTAACGTAATGCATGTTGTAACTATTATGGGTAATTAACTTTCTGGGTTTCTTCCTTGAAGTATGGATTTATTACTCACTATTATTACAATTAATTATTTTTCTTGATTAAAGTTCTGTTAGTTTGTAAATTAAAAAAAAATCATTCTACTTAGACTCCACATTTGCATTTTGTTACTTATTTGGTCACTCACGCGCTCAATAACTATTTCTGCGGTCTCTGCTATTTCCAGTCTACTGCATCGCTGTCCCAAACTCATGGCATGAACCAATAAAAGATTTTTTGCCTACCCAACATTCAGTTCTGTGAGCATCTGCATAAAAATCACATTGTAATGTATTTGTGTAGATTTCTTTTACTTAAAAACATTAATAGCGACACATGATTTATAAAGTTAGACACACAACATGTTTTAGGAAGACAACAGACATTTTCTATCATCAGTACTTTTTGTTTAATAGGTTAAGAGACATTTCAGTATATGTTGGAGGCTACACATTTTTTTTACTGATTGGTTTCTAATAAGTATAGAAACAAAGTTACAGTCCTGTATTTAATATTGGAAAGTAGGCAAACGTATTTGCAGTTTGCTCCTATTTGTTGTGTGAATAAGAAGATAAGCAGGTACGAATCTGTGAAAAAATCTTGATGTTGAACAGGTACAATTATGTTCTAACATCATCTGCAATCTATTTGTATCCTCATGTGGATGATTTTTGTGATGACGCTTGTGTAGTAAATGTGTTTCACCTAGTAGCATTTGGAATGGAAGGATGCAAGAAAGAAGCGGAAACTTGTGTTTTCTGGCAGGGTCACACCTTTCCGGTGTTGTTTACAATGAACACTTATTAGAATTGTTCCTGCCATCAGACGTAAGTTTAATTTTAAAATCTGAACACAAAATACATTTCTGATACAAATTAATAACAAATTACATATCTGTCCAGTATTTATATTGATTGAAGAAATTTTTGATGGGTATTTAAAATATGCAGGATGTCCCAAACAGATGTGTATAATCGGTGCAGTAGTTTTTGGCCGGTGGAATATTCAAGGGGAAGGGTAGGAGCGAGTCACTTGTGCAATAGTATAATGCTGACTGCACCGAGGAGCTTATCGGACTGGACTACGAAACAAAAGAAATACACTGGCCGTGCCACCTCACTCTGTGTACCACAGAGTAGGCCCGTCCGCCAGCTCTGCTAGCTTCTCCACCGGCCAAAAACTACTGTGCCGACTATACAAACAATCATTACATATGTCAGCATTGTATATAAATATTTTTATGAAATTCTGTATGTGCTGCCGACTATGGCAGTCCACCACAAACTGCTTGCAATATTGTAGCTGTTTCTTGAAATATTTAGTGTTTTCTTCATCAGATAGCGAGAAAAGTGAAGCAGTTGTTGTGAGTGATGCCAATGAGTTGGTGAGCAATTTGCTGTTGAAATGACCATGATTCCGTAGTGATTGAGAATCAATTTACAGTTCCTAATTTGAAAATTTCTTACTGACAGGCCATGACGTTTAGCTTAGTGGGCATTTGAATACCATTGTGCAGGATCAAGAATTGAATAATCATGTAGCGCAACTTCCTTCGGAGGGGAAGTAAAGCCCGCAGTTCAATGTCGTAGATTTACGGCATGTAAAAGAACCTTGCGAGCATGATATGAGATGTTTCGAAGCAAAATTCAGTGGCCATTTCTCACTGCTAGATGGCTCTGGCAGTCAAAATCAGGATTGAGTAGAAATTGTGCAGAGGCAGTGGGCTTGTCACTCACTACTCGAACGCATCTTACGAGACTAATAAGGACAAGTTGCCTTGAGCAACTGTCCCGGAAAGGGCCAATAGGCCCAGTCCCTGTAGTAGATGATGATAAACATGTTCTGTCTTTTTCAGGACTGTGTGTGACGTACAGACCAAATGGAGAAGAGGTGGCAGTGTCTACACTGGATGGACAGATTACATTTTTTCACTGCAAGACCTCACAAGAGATTGGCAGTATTGAGGGGCGCAATGACCTGGGCAGTGGACGTTCTGATACGGACCTCATCACGGCCAAGAAGAGCCTTCAGGGAAAGTATGCCACCTTTATTAACGTTCCTTGTGTACAGTTCATATGTTGCTTCATCAGGAGGTCCTCGTGTTGATATGCGTATTATAGCGAGAGATAGTCTTCAGTGTCTTTTAAAGTAGGGTGACATTTTATAAATTGCATTCATGTGACTGATTCACAGAGCATTCACGAGTCTGTGCTACACTGCAGATGGCACTTGTATCTTAGCTGGTGGACAATCGAAGAATGTTTGTATATACAATGCCCGCGAAGCTCTACTACTGAAGAAGTTTGAAATCACACAGAATCGCTCCTTCGATGCTGTCGATGTAAGTGAACTCTTGGTACTGTGCTTTTAACCTTAAACTGTATGTGGTGCAGCGGGATGTAATATATTTGCACTTGAGCACTGCTCCAGTCCTCAGGGAATTTATTTCCGAGGTGATTATTATTATTAAGTGTTCTGTCTTACGACAGGTCCATTGCTCTGCCCAAACAGAGCTCTCCAGTTGTCCCTATTCTCGGCTTCTCGCTTTAATTCCTGGAACGTCATCTTCTTTCCTTGTTTAAGGTCGTCGGTTAGCTGTATCAATCTTCTTCTTAGTCCTCTCTTTCCTTCAACCTTCCATTCCTGAGGTGATAGCAGATGCTAAACTGATTTCACTACTCCCAGTAGTGTCGTGCGTGAGAGTGTCTGGTTTTATCCTTATGAATGAAAGTAATACAAATTTGAATTTAATTCAAATGATGTCCAAAAAATCCAGTAAGAACATTTGTAAAATTTGGTATGAATGATGCGAGTTCATGTAATAATCTTCTAAGTCGTTGCGTTGTGTAGTTTTCTGATTGTGAAATTTTACATAGCCCAACAGCATAAAGACTGCATTTTGAACAGGAAAAACATTGTTAAACCTGCAGAAATTCATCACAAAGCATAGGCCACAATAACCCTGTTGCATGAAAGCTATCGAAATTAGAGATGCAGATTTGCCGTTGCACTGTTATACTTGTGTATGATGTTGGAGTTACTGTTGTATGGTGAGCATGGTTGGTGATGGCATTTTTATTTAACCTGACTCTACTTGAATTGGCGTGCATGATGTAGCATGGCACACCCTCCCTCTCTCACATTTTAAACAATGAAACCTAGTGATCATATTTCTTGATAGTAGGAAGATTATGGGAATGATTTCTTGTAGAAAGTTGTTTGGTATTTCCTGCGTGCACCAAGTTTTGACTTTGTTAGAGCTGAGAAGCAGAGAAATGCTGGAAACCTTGTGTGTCTTGTGAAGAGACCAAGCCCACAAGAATGACTTTCTTGACCAAGTCGTCGTACCCTTTTAGCTATTTAAATGCAGCGAAACCTGAGTTCTAGGTTCCGGCATTTAAGGTTTTCCCACAATTAGTGGATATTTCTTGTAGTCCAGGCTGAAAATATATATATTTATTTGTGTATTATTTTTCTCAATTTATGAATTTCCCCACGTTTTGTGTTTGAAACGTCTTTTCCTACATAAGTTTTGGAACTTGATTTAGTGTTGAGAAAATTTTTGCAAATTTCAATTTTGCGCTCAAGAGTCATTACCTGCATATTAGAAGTAGTCATCAGCCTGCAGACGTCAATCCACGAAAGCTGCGCTTATCTCACTTATAGCGTTATTTACCGTACATGACAATGGAACGGCTTGTAGCTTGACTGTGCTTGCAGGATCGTACCAGTTGTGTCACTTTTAACCTTTTGCCATTTGTGATACTGTAGAATGCGGTATAATTAACTTCCCTTGTTATGCTTAATGCTTTCAAGCCCAGTGCGTTTTGCCCACAGAATGTGTTCATGGGTTTTGTATGATTCCTAGAGTGAGCTGTATTTTGATGATTATTTAGATTTTTCTTTGAGTGTCGCTTTGTACATGAAACAACTTTCTAGATTCACTTCTTCTTATCTACTGTACCTAGAATGTACTGTCACTACGCGTCTGAGATCGATTATGTTTGATATCTGAAAAATCTTTCAACAAGTTTATTTTAGACATCCTCATTGGTTAAACACTATATTGTCCTAAAAGACTGAAAAAAATTGAAACATTGGCCAAAGGTTTGTAAAGCTAGTCGTAAGTAGCTGTTTGTTCGAGCAAGTTGTACAGTATGGTATGATGCGTACAGGACTTTATAAACCGACGTAAAATGACGGAGTTCGGCAACATGGCGTTGGTGGAGGAACGAGAGGAAGGCGGGAACGTTGCGATAAGATTGCCGGGAGTGCGATCTGGTGACATGGCTGCAAGGGCTTTCAAACCAGAAGTGAGGGTGTCTTGTCTACAATTCTCGCCCACAGGTAACCACAGATTCATATGCTGTACATTGAAAACATCTGCTTACCCAGCGTATTGTGTTTATCGTGAACTTGAATCTAATGTTTTAATCTGGACTCTTCCATTTTGTTTGTACTGTTTAACAGGACTTTGATTTTATTGTTCATTCAGTAGCACAGTTGCTGATCCAATCCATGATTTCTTCATTGTCTGGTCAGGGCGATTTATATTGACATTGGTGCTCTTACCTTTAATTGCTGTCTTGTCTCAGCAATTGTTTATCTTAACCCTTCAAAGCTGAATAGTAGCAGTAAACACCTGCTGCTCTAACGATCATGTTGTGTTTACGTTCTTAGTGTTATTTTCACTGTAAACAGCGATTATTTCCTTAAACAGTGTTAACTAGTCGATCTTTGTGACGGTCGTGTGGTCTGTTTTGTTTGAGATACGGACTAAATTCCTAAATAATATTGAGTTGTGCTTAAGCTTCAAAGGATTGACAAACCTTTCCTGAAGTCTTATGAATTACTGGTCTTGTTTACACCATAATGTTTTACTTGGGATTACTAAAGTCAATAAGCGTGTGGCATTTTGAAGGTCTGGCCATGTTGACTGTAATGTGATTGCCTATGTAGAAGCTTAATTTTATTTGTTTGTTCAGTAGGTCACACCCTTAACCAAGGTCACCACTAAACATATAAAAAATTCTGACTGTCTGTTGTAGGTCAGTTGAAACCACATTTTTGTGTGATTGCTAGTTTTGTCACAAGGGGGCCACACAAGTGCAGCGGAGCTGAACTTGTTACATGCGACAAACCACAAGTAGGATGTTTTAAGTGCACAGTGTACCTTGCATGTGAAACCAAAGTGAAGGGTTTAAAGACAAGAAATATGTTGAAGATGACCGTCTTTGGGGCTTTTGTACCATGTAGCTTTCTGCCTCCAACACCAGGGCAATTGTCCAGGTGATGGAGGCAGCAAATACCTCTGAAACGTCTGAAAAACTTCTACCAGAGAGTAGAGAGTCGTCTTCATTCTCACTGCCATGAGAATCTGAAATAGCATCAAGAAATCTCTTGAGCTTTTGAGTAAAACTATGTTCCAGAAGCCCATAATGTCTTTTCTGCTTGAACTTATGGAATGTGACATGAATAAACTGGTTTGTTCCAGGTCAGGCGTGGGCGGCCGCCACCACAGAGGGCCTACTTATCTACTCCTTAGATAAAGGCATGGTGTTTGATCCATTCCAGTTGGAACAGGACATTACACCCAACTCTATCAGGAAGTCACTTCAAGAAGAGGACTGGGCGAAAGGTACGGGTTTACTCTGGGACAGTCACCTTGTATAAAATTGTGCTTGTAAATTTTTGTTAAATTATTTATCGAGGGAATTATCTTATGTAATAGCTGTAATAAAGTATGATATAAGTAATGATATCCATCTTTACAGCTTTTATTTTAATGTCTTGTTTTATAATTTGTAATTTAAATATTAATGGATTGTAAGTCTCACACAGTTAATGTGCTACCTGAAGATGATTTGGGTTAGACTGAAACATGTAGTAGTATTGTAAGAAAGAATAAGACATTAGAATAAAACTGTAAATCGAACATTTCGATAGAAAGAGCATCATTTTAATATATTTTAAATATTTTAAATATTAAATGTTAATTGTAATAATAATATTTTAATATTTAATAAAATATTTTATTGTGATTAGACGATTAAAATTAAACAATTAGAATAAAAGTCAAATAGATGGATGTTATTAGTGTTGTACCTTACTTGCACAAATGGCTACACTTCTATCATACTTTCTCTGTTCCATTTATTTACCTTCGCTGGCAACTCGTCCAATGCCCTTTCTGTTCCAGCTGTTGATCAGTTATATGTTTAGCAAAACAAAAAAATACCGAGACAGTAATGTTTTAAAAGGACAATTTTTTTTTTTAAGTTTA